AGGGACTCCAGGGCGGAGAGGCGGGGCGCTAGACGATCGACGGGGCTGCGGCGGTCAATGGAACGAACCCGGTCAATGGCTCGAACGGCCAGTGAATGGCAAGGAGGTGGCGACGTCGCATGGAAAGGCGATGATGAGCACGCATGCACGGCTTTATGATGCGATGCGGTCCCACAACACACAAACACGTTTTCGGCCGCTTTTGATTCGCGGTGCTCGCTCTTGCAGACTGACTCTACTCCGAGGTCCGTCTCCCTCGCACACGCGCAGCGCGATCCGCGTAGGTGCGAGCGAGAGAGCTAGTCACCGTCATCGTCATCCCGCGACCGCGTAAATCAGCCACTTTTATAGACAGGCCGGCCGGCCGACTTCATCGCCATGACGCGTCTGTTTAGTGTCACCGCGCCACAAAGGAGCCGGGCCGCCGGGACCGCTTTTCGGCGAATCAGAATATTGCGCAAAACCACACGTGGATGGGCAATGTGACACGATAAAGAGGCAGACGCCTTTTTATAGGCCATCGCGGTGTGCCGACTGACAGCACAGCGCTCCGACAACCAATTTTGTCACACACACACACACACACACACACACACACACACACACATCAGGGTGCAGTGCGCCCGTCACTGCGACTCATTCACGGACCCATTAAGTCATTTGCACGCGTTGTAAGTCGGGTTTAAAAATACCGGCGGGTCCTCTCTCTCCCTTCTCTCGCTCGGCGTGCGAGGCAAGGCGACGCAAGGCGACGCAGTGCGTCGGGTCCTCGCGGCACGGCCGCGCTGTTGCGTACCGCACACGCGGCGAGGCGCCTCCCTTTCGTTGCGAAACGCGAGGGATTTTGAAAAGTCGATTTCTCATATTCCTCTGTACCTGCGGCGGCCGTCCGTCCGTGTGTGTGTGTGTGAGTGTGTGTCGCAGTGGGGCGGCGTGGTGTCACGGCGAGGTGTTACCTACCGGGAGCTTTGTCTCGATGGCAATCTGCGCGCCGCTGCGCGTCCAGAGCGCGTGGCGGGGCACAGCGAAGGCTCGGCTTCGAGTTATCTCGACAAGAAGCGCCACACGTATGCACCCATTATATACTGCCGGAGTATTGTCCTGTTATCTGGAACAGGCCGACTATTATTCCAGCGGCGGTGTCGGCTCGTTAACTCTAGTCTCATTCGGAGCGCGCGAGTCTGACGACTTAATTTTTCCTCCGACGCAGTGCAGTGGCAGTAAAATTTTCGAGTGGAGGCTCGCCGCCATTCGTATGCAGACGAGGAGCAACAATGTTTGGGCGCGTCTAACCGAAAAAGCGGGGGCCGGGGGGCCCCTCGCGTGTGATAACGAGCGAGTGGTGCGAAACCATTTTTTACTTTTTTATTGGTGGGAATTAACATTTGGCGAGTGAACCAGATTTTATCAGCGCTGCTCCGCGGCTCATGCCCGCGCTGCTCGTCACAGTTATATGGGTCCCATGGCACCAGGGCCGCAGGGCCGGGCAGCAGGGCTGGTGGCAATGCCACAATCTCACTTCCCGTTCGAAATAAATATCAAAAGAAATAAAATGGGAACGAAAGACAGCGTCATTCGATTCACGCTGTTAGTTAACTCGCGGCCCGGCTATTATCGGTACTGATAAAAATAGAAGAAGAAGAAAAAAAGCGGGTGGGACGCCGGGGTTGGATGGATGGGTCGGAATAAGCGAGATTTGAGCTTATCTGGGAGACAATAAAGCGAAACAAAATATCTCGTGTGTGTAATGACTCGTTGAAAGCGCCCAAATAAGCAGAGATAGCGCTTGTATCAATTAGGCCGCGCGGTTCCCAACGAATTTCCCGACGACGCGGGCGAACGTCGCTCCGCTGCTGGAGGCAACTCGCGTATTTTTAGCATTTCCCTGCATCATTGGTCACAGAATCCTACTCTATAAAAAGTTTGATAAGGCATCCGAGTTTTCAATAAGGCGAAAATAACCTTGTTTCCTTCCCCCTGCCCCAGCCGCCCAAAGTTGGGCAATGTTGTATTTTTATGGCGGCCACCCCTCGCGAGATCGCGCGGGCGGCGCTCAGGAATCGTCGCCGCCGTCCATAATAGGCCACTTAAAGCCCCTCCACTGATTTATGCGGTCGACATTTTTCCAGTGTCACGAAAAACGTTACAAAGACGCTCGCACTCTCAGGAACCAGCATCCAAACTACTTTCATAAAATGTGTAGGCCAAAATACTGGAATTGAAAAAAAAATTTACAGAAATTATTGAAATCAACAGAAGCTTCACCAGAAAGTTCTCTCGCCACAAAATTTTGCTGTCGTCTTTTCAGAAAATTTGCAAGTTTCAGCGCTGGTTCTTCTGGGATTGCCTAGCTTGAACGTTTTCGAGGAAAACTGATGCCATTTTTTGACGGCCTCTTTGCGCAAGATAATTTTCTTGTCTCCTGTGATACACCTCACAAGTAGCCATGGTGGCCCATACTTACCGCTGAGGGTCCCCTTTGCTCAAATCTGCGAGTTCATTACACCGGCATTGAGACGGTAGGCAGACGGAGGCGTCTGTGGGAATTGCATCTCCCGTGATAAATGAATCGGAACGCACTAACTGGGCCCCATTAGGGCCTTCAGGCTGCACCATGCCCGCTCGGCGCGTCGCAAAACGTGTCATGGCAGTGACAGTCGTCACCCATCAGCCTCGCCAGGGCTAATGATGCACTTGGCTGCCGAGACAACGCTAGAGAGCGCCGGGCGCGCCGTGGTGCAGCACAGCCACAGGAAGTCGCCGCGCTCGCGCAGGCGCCTGCCACTAACCGGGCATTATTTTCAGTTCCCCTTTATGAAGCTCGCAGTAAACGCTGCGCCACAATAATTGGCGGCAGAAAAGCAGCGGCTTTCGCTATTTTCAGCGCCTCTCGTTCGGTCAACCCGGATTTAAATAGCCGCCGGTTTTCGTCATTTATCGCGGGTCTAGCCACTGTCAGTCCGACGGCCACTTGAGCGCCGCGCTTCGACGCGCAGAACCAGCATTCGACGGACGTGTCAGCGTTTGCCCGCGCAACACGTGCTGTCGACAGCCCAATAGTCGTCGCCACTCTTGAAAAAAAAAAAAAAAAAAAAAACCATTAGCCGACCAAGATAGGCTTTGAAACCGTGACTAGTGTACGGCCAAGAGAAATGTTGGAATCCCATCCTGCCTAATGTTTCCGCTCCTATTCCTTTTCAAAAGTATAAATTGTGGGGCTTTATCAATCACCCCACGCAGCCACCACTATCTCGCTTGCTTGCGTCTGCCCATTCAGCCTGCCCCACTGCCCCCACTCCTAGCAAATTTTTCCCGACGCGTTATCGTGGAGATAAATTGGCGTAACGAAATGACACGCCCTCTGCGAGCCGGCCGGGGCACGCCGGGGCATTTCACGCTCTTAAATTAGTGTTTATTCATGTCCATCACCGCATCACGATCCCCCCTCCCCCTCCCACACTCCGCCGGCACGGCATCGATAATGAATCCGTGCCTTTCACTGACAACTATCTCGGTGCACTACTAAGTCAACAAAGAGGACGCTGTGCCAGAATAATTTTCTGGTCGCAGGGGTCATCAAGGCGCTGCGGCCGGCCACTGTTGGATTTATTGGTAAGCTTGGGACTGTACCATGAGACGCGGGTCAAGTAGAGACTGGGACTTCTCACGATTCGCCTGCCATGCCTTTACCAAGGAACGCACTGCTTGGTGCCCTTACCGAATGGCCCAGACCTCTCCCGGTGACAAATTCAATTTAACGGTGGCGCCACCTCCGCCTTGACGCACACCCCTTTGCGTGCGATTTAAAACCGCCGTCCGCGGCCTGGGGGAGGGCTGCGGGGGTGGCAGGCCCGTCTCATTTCCGCCCCCTTGGCCGCCCCTTCCGCGCCCTGGGCGCTGATTTCCTCCCGGTCCAGGACGCGGACTGGGCCCCGGCGACCACGGCGTCAGCGAGCATCGCGCCGAGGACGGCGACGACGACTGCAGCGCGTCTGCCGGCCGAATAATTGAGCAGCGGAAAAAGTGGCAACAAGAAGGCGAGGGAGGACGACGGCAAAGTGACGGACGTCGCCGCCTCGCGATGCGGCGGGCGACGCTGTCAGCCTGGCGCGGCGACGTGTGCGACGTGTGCTCGCCTCCGGGCCGAGAGGCGTGGGGGCGGGGCGGCCGAGGCGGCCGGGGCGCTGCAGGGCGGCCAAGTGTCCGCGCGGTGCGCTTTCGCCGCGTCCGGACGGAGTGTCGGAGTGTCGCTGCCACCGGCCGCGCCGAGAAACATTACCTGGGTGTCGACCTGCAGGCAGTGCGCGCTGCGCGGCACAGCACAGCCCCCCCTCGACTCGCCGCGCGCGCCATCTAGCGGCCGCCGGGGGAATGGCCGCCGCTCCGCCAGGCTCCGCGAGGTGGCCGCGGCATGGCGAAAGGGCTCGCGCCGCGGCCGGCAGCACCAGGCCGCCGCGGGAGGGGCGTGGCTCCGCCCACCGCGCCTCCCCTCCGGCCGCGCTACGCCCCGCTACGCCGCGCTGCCATGAGGACGGCCGCGGTGGAGGGGACGCTGGCTGCGCGCCGCGCCGCGGCCTGGAGGCGCGGTGGCTGGGCCGGCAGACTGCGCCGCTGCGGCAGGGGCCTCCACTTGGGCCCTTTCCGGAGCGCGGGACTGATTCGAGCGGCGTGGCGAGGCGCGGTCGGCGCACCAGTTGATGTGGTTCGCCCCCCACCCCCGCCCCTCACGGCCAGCCCCCTGCCGCAGCCACCGCTGCAACGCTGCTCATGTTCGTTTTGGCTTGTTTTGCTGGCATTTTCACACACGCGCGCGCGCTCCGTCCCTCTCTGTCTGACGGCGCGGCAGTCGCGTTGCTCGAGCTCGCTGGTTAGGTTATGTCGCTGTTGGTAAACAAAGGCGCGCAGAGAGGTTAGGAGCGCCGCACGCGCCGCCGCGCCGCGACCATGTGACTGAGCCGCCGCCCGCGCCGCGCAGCGCTCGGCAGCGCCCCCTGGCGAGCATGACCGTCCTCCGGGAGGCGGGGAGCATGGAGGACCCCGCCGACGACTCGTCCCCGACGGACGCCTCCTCGTCCAGCCGCAGCATCAGCTTCAGCGTGGCCTCGCTGCTGGCCGGCACCAGGCCCTCCCGGCCGCGCAGCACGCGCAGCACCACGAGCAGCCAGGACGCCGTCGAGGACGACGACCGGGACTCCGGCACCGAGGGCAGCGTCGTCGACGTCGAGGACTTCCGCGATGACGCCCCCGCGTCGTCACCACCCCCCTCCGAGAGGCCCGCGCGCGGCCCCGTCAGGCCCACGCCCTTCTCAGCGCTGGCCGCGGCCGCCGCGGCCTACTCGCACGTGGGCGCCGGGCTGCAGGGCCTGCAGGGCCACGGCCCCAACGCCGCGGCCGTGGCGGCGGCCTGGGCCCGGGCAGGGGCTCCCTTCTACCAGCCGCACGCTTTCGGAAGGACTTCTGGTGAGTAGCCCTGTCTCCCTGCACTTGCAGCCTAGCGCCCGACCAGCTCGGATAGGCCAGCCTGCAGCGCAGCCGTGCGGCCGGGTGGCCTACCGAGCGGGGGCTTCCCCTGCCCGGCCTCGATGCAGCTTTTTAGCAGATGATACGTTTACGTATCAGCGTGCTTGTACTCTCGTGCAGAGAGTACCGAGTTTCCGGGTAGCCAGGCAGCAGTAGCCTCGTTGCCTGACTAGCAAGCCTAGAAGAGGCCGAGCGCCTCGCTGGCAAGGCAGCGGCTGGCTGGCCTGCCTAGAAGATTATGAGCGGAGGGCCCGCAGCGTGCCGCGCCGTGCCGTCGCGCGCCGCACCATGAATCGGGGCGCCTGCGGGGGCTCGGGTTGCGCGCGCGGCCTATAACCTCGACACCCAGTTATCTAATACTCATGAAGTGCGTCCCTCGCGTTGCGCGTCGTTACGGGACGCTGCTAGCACGCATCGCGTGGCTGCCCCCCTCGCCCAGTCCCTTGCCGAGACGCCACGTCCCGCCGCGCCCCGCCACACCCCGCAGCAGTCTACACACACACACACTTGAGCCTTGAGTGCGTAGAACGCATGGTGCAGCGGCCCCCCCGAACCCCTGCCCCTCTCGAGAAGCGGCGCGTCGGCAGTCGGCAGTGTGCGCCACTCTTGCTTATCTATCTTGAGGTCGGGTTCGGGTGGCGCGCCGGCCGGCCGGCCCCGCTTGGAGATGTGGCTGACACGCCGCGTGCCGCAAGGCGCCTTGCCCTACTACCGAACACAACTTTTATTGGTATTGAGTATTTATGTGATTAGCCACCAAATTGTGCATCCTCGCGTTGAAACAACGAAAATGATACCCAAGTGATATCGGACATATGAGTGTCCCACCGTCCTTGCGAACATGGCACGTTAGGATATTCAAAAGTTATACTAAAATTGACATTTTCATGAATTACCATGCGTAAGAAATTTGTCGAAAAAAAGAGTTCCGAGTGTTTACCCTTTGAAAGAAATTGACAAAATGTCACATTCATACATTTCAATAAACATTCTCATAAGTATCATCTGCTTTCACGTTAGCGTTAGCGTTAACGTTTTTTTTCCTCCCTCATAGAGCGCAATGGAAATGCTGAACGCCGGTTTGCGGCGCGCTAAGCACCGCCGGAACGGCCGGGACGGCGGCAGTACTTCTGCGCGGCGGCCATCCCTTTTTTCTGCGTAGCGTCGCCGGGACGCTGCCGGGCACGACCGTCCAAGAAGGCGCGCTGTCCACTCAATGTCGCGACGCGTGTTTTCTCCGCCAGAGCTTTATAGCCCCGTCGGCCAAGTGCACGCCACTGCTTGGAGCTGCTTTGCGGAGCTCCTGCGAGAATCATGACCTGTTGCGCGATGAGCGTGCTGCGCTGCAGGGCGGGCTGGGCAAGCAAGACCTTGTCCAGGCTTTCCGACCGGCCGGCCGGGCCGGACCGGGCTGGCGATCGGACCGTTGTCCATTTTCAAACACCAGCGATGGGGCACTACGTGTTGGTACCGCGCGCCGCCCCTCTCAGAATAAACAGAGATGTTACAGGGACAATAAAACAATGCCGCCTCTACGAACAAAGGGCCTGCAGGACCAAATAATAAATAACGCTCTCTGATTTGCAAATTGATGCGGGCTGGCCGAGGCTGGCCAGCAAGCAGTGCGCGCTCAGTGCAATTTCCCGGTACCGAGGACGACAGCGACGACGGCACGGCCAGGCACGGCCGGCCCTGCTCTTTTTGCCACGACCACTCTCATCGGTATGAAAATTTACTCGCCGCATATTGCCGCCAACGGTCCACCTGGACAGACACTGACTCGCGCTGACAGCGCGCCGCAGCCCGTCAGCTCGTCAGCGCCACGGCGTCCGGGTGGCAGGCGTGGCAGGCGTCCGGACTAACGAGAGGTTCATCGCATGATTTATTGGCCGCTGCATTCGCGAGACGTTCGGCGGAACCAACTAAACTAAATGAGGCAGAAAGCCTTAGCATATTGGATCGGCCGCCTCCGGCATGCCCGGCATTCGTCCCTTACTCCTTAAACCGCGCGTAATTATCGATTAAAGTGACTGGCGAGGTGGCGGCGCGGGGCGGCGGCGCGCGCAAATTAGCCCGTACCGCCAACGCGTGTAACTTGTCCCCGCCCCGCCCCACCCTGCCCCGCGGCGGACGGACGGACAATCGGCTAACTAACCGCCTATCTGTCCCCTTTCAATTAATGGCGTGGGCGTCGCGGGCCGTCGGCCAATCAGCGCGCAGCGTGGCCGGGCCGGCCGGACGAACAGCGTAACTGGACGGGGCTCGGGGCGGAGATACGGGCATCCTGCCGGCCGCAGGGCCGCGGGGCCGGCGGGGCCGCTCACGAGGCAGATGTGCATCGGGACGTCACGGCAGCTGTGGTGTGTATGCGGTGGCTGCAGTGGGGCAGGTCCCCGCCGCACACGCACGCACGCACACACACACACACACACACACACACACACACACACACACACACACACACACACACACACAAGGACTCACGTGCGGTCCAGCTGATGACCGGTCCCCGATAGTATCGTTTGCGGGTCGAATTAATTACCGAATTCAAACGTGAAATGTTGGAGATGCTCACGGTGAAAAAATAAAATAAAAGAAATTAAATTAACAGGAAAAAGGAGGTGGGAGAGCGAGACAAAGACGTGTGCGGGGAAACAATGAAAACGTTTCGGCCATTGTTTTGCGCGCTGTTTTGTACTTGAGCAACGCGTGCGGCACTGCCGGGTGCTGCGGAAATGGGTGTCCAAATCGGCGCCGGGCGTTCGGCGCTGGACGGCGCACAGGTGAGTGGCCCGCTAAAATGGGCATGCAATAACACACGGCGATAAATCGTGGCAGACGCTGGATGCCGCGCGATACGGCCGGGCGGCAGGTGCTCCGATATTGTTCAATCGTTGGATAAGTGACTGCTGTCCGTCTATTTCCTCGTCATTTGGCGCGCTGGCGGCGCTGGCGGCGCAAGCGGAGCTCCAAACTGTCCAATTCCTGTGCGAGCATCTGGCCGGATCGCCCCTCTCGCGCGATTGACTGCCGGCGAGATGCATCAGCGCGTTATCGGCAGCGGGGGCAGCGGCGCGGCCCGCATGGACGCGCAGGCCCCGCCAGGCCGGCAGGCCGTCATATGGCTGGCACGGCCACTGCACGGCCACGGCACGGCCGCCAAACTGCGCCATGAGTGCAAATTGGTTCCAAATGAGCAGGAAGGGGGCAGTGACTAAAAGCCCATCATTCAACGACTCGGCCTGATACAGCGCCAATGCGGGAGTGAGGGCTGTCTTGCAACGATGGGAAGTTTGGCAAATTCCTTCGATTAGAGTAAGCCTTGTGGTATAGACCGACGATCAAATGACATTGAAGCAACCAGTCCAAGACCAACTCAAACAAAACTGTGACCTTCCTCTTCAATTCTGCAGCGTTGCTTGCGCCGTAAGCCCAGAGCCTACGTCGATCTGCCCCCGCGGTATCGCGTCACGTGCCGCCCCACCCACCGCGCCCCGCCCGCCCCACCACCGCCCACCACGCCCTGCTGAGGTGGCGGGGAAGGACCTCATCGATTAGTGGTGGCCACCTCCTACACGCCGCACGCCCAGGAAGCTCTCGATACAGCCACCTCCGCTCTTTTTCTTCTGCTTCCTCTCTACTTCTTCTCCCTCTTCAGCTTTTGCCACCTCGTGGCGTTGGTTCGGAGCTTCCATCCTGCTCCAAATTAATACGTCTCCATCAGTGAGATATTTAAATGAACCGCCGCTAGAGGATGTACTAAAAAGGTGGGGGTCATAAAATGTTAAACGATCGATGCGCCACGGCCGGGCATTCAACAGGAAGGTGGGCCCCAAAGGGGGACCCGGTGGGGCCCGGTGGGGCTCGAAGGGCGCACAGCGCGCACACGACGAATCAAAGGACCAAGAATTTTAACGAGGAAACGGGAGGAACCACACGTACGAACACTCACACTCGCACACGATGCACGTGAAAACATTACAAAAACAGAAGCCATTGTTCGTAACCTTATGTTATTGCTTTGAAGGATCTTTCTTTTTATTTTAATGAATGGGGTGATAGTTTACATTTAAAAAGTAGACATCACTTTAACTTAAAAACCGCAATGAAGACCGCCTTAAATCCAGGCAGAATTGCTTCTTTCGCTTCGTTTGACGTCGATGAAAGAAACGAACGAGATGTGGAACGCTTCACGTCGATTAACCGTTCAGTATGCGATCGAACAGACTTGTCGCGTTGTATTGACAGCCCGTGCAGCTGATTGCTGGCCACACAGGCTCATGCCGACGTAAAAAAAAAAAAAAAAAACACGCCTGATTTCTCCAAGAATAAATGAGAAAAAACAACGACGGGTGGACCCCGAAACGGTGTAGCGGAGCAGATGTCGAGCCGAGGCCGTGAAGAGGTCTCGGCTCGGACTGCTACCGAGTTAGCACACGGGAGATTAATTTTATTCCCGTCCTCTGATTAACACATTCCGATCGCCGGTGTAGGTCGGGTTGCCCGATGTCGCCTCCGCCCTGCTGCACGCACACACACACACACACACACACACACACACACACACACACACACACATACATACACACATACACACACACACCTTTATTGTCGTTGCCGTTAACCTTGAGGTCTTTACAAGTGCTGATGCTACCTACCGCTACTAAAACCGACGACAGCTTCTTTTAGCCGGCCCCGTCTATGGTGGTGGCCCCGGCAGTCCCGTCCACTCCGACTTCGCCCCCGTTTCTTTTTTATTTGCATTCGCATCCCCCGGTTCGGCAATCTGAAAACGCATCGCAGGAGGTCACAGAATTTCGAAATAATACGTCGCTATATAGGTAACTTGACTTATCAATTTAAAAAGCCAAATGTACAGGTGCAATTTAAATCTCTGTAGGGCTTAGAAAAAGGAAGGCAACCTCTTTTTTTGAATGAAT